ATGTACCCTGTGGCCAGTCTTTCACTCCTTATCAGATATAAAAGCCTTTCTTCCTGTCTGCATGTGGTTTTATATTTCATGATATAACGGCTAGAAGTTGAAGAGAATTTGTTCTAAACTCTTGTATTGCTTGAACCAGAACCAGCTGTGCATTTCCAGAACCACGTTGCATTTTTGATTCTTCCACTTTATTTGGTGGCCTTAGCTTTGAGCCCATTGGCAGACTTCTGTATCTACAGATGGAATTCTGTGCTAGGAGTCAGCATAATGTGTTAAATCTGCTGTTTATTTCAGAGCCAATGCATATGCTCAAGTTCAGTCCAGCCTTTTGCATAACACATACAGTGAGTAGAATTCCCTACAGTTTTGAACTACAGAAGGACTTCATTTGCAATGATTTCTAGCTTGCATAAGTAGAAATTTTTCATCTAGTTTTGCCTGCAAAAGATTGCCGCTGACAGAAACATTATTGATGAGTGTGCTAATAGAGTTTTAATGTTCTATAAAAAGTCATGTAGAAAAGGGTAGTGAACAATTGGGATGAGCAAATGAAAAGTTTAAACTTCATTTTATGCTTTTATGAAGCACAGTTTGCTGCAAACTGTGCTTCATAAATTCTGAATTTCAGGGTACCAAGTACAGTGGAGTTCCAGTTCTAATGAAACTTTCTAGGAAATTGTAATTCATACAATTTAATTTTAGCAAAGGATGAAATTTGGAGAGTAAAGTTACTTTCACTAAAGTAATATTTGAACGAAGTTTCTTTGATTTTATTTTAAGTTTGATTATTTCTATGTTTCAGATATTATAAAAGAGGGGAAAAAAGTGATTTAAGTTCATACCCTCACTCTACAATACAGTTTAAACAATAAATACTGGAAAGAAATGAAATTCCAGTTGCCATTTGAAAACACTTATACCCAGAAAAGGCCTTACTTTCTAAAAAGGGAATATATATTTCAAGTTTCACTTCATACTGTTGACATGGTGTAGTTGTACTGATTGTACTATTGATTTAGTATATGCATTCCTCTTGGAATGAGCAGAGAAAATGAGACTCATAATGAACAGCAGCTCAAAGTACCTAGTCATGCTTGAGTTATGTGTTACTCTTAAAACAGCTCAAGGACATACTGGAGTAGAGAACTGAAGAAAACTATCTGAGTCATCCAGTCTAGTTCTCTGCAGTCTTAGGCAATTATATTAATTTGGGATTCACTTTGTGCCTTTCACACCCATACAACATTGGCCAAAAATAACCTCTGACAACATATACAACTCTAAGTGTTTTTATACAGAAGAGCAAGAGCATCCCTTCTTTTTGTCTGAATCATGTTACCACTCAGTTCTTTTGTAATAAATATTTTAAGCATGAGAACATTCACTGTATCTGTCTAGCGCTCAAACTATGAAACTTATTGGTATACTTCAGTTTAGAAGAACCCTTTGTTCACCTTCTAATTTCTCAGTATTTTTTTGCGGTTATCCATTTTGTTTCAGACAATCAAGATCTGCAGCTTACAGCACTGATATGTGGTGTGACTGGTTCTTTCCATGATCTTAAGTGTAATGGATATTCACAGGAATCTTTTCATCTTACAAAAATTTGGTAAAAGAAAGCTCTTGTCTTTATGGAGTCAGAGTAAGAGTTGCTGGTCCTGCTCTGTCCTCTAGTAGCAAACTTAAAGAAAAGAAGACCATTTTCATGAATTCTTTCATACCTGGTCTTCTCCTGGTAACTGAGACTAAGTATCTGGGTTACTGTTGTTGTATTTATCAGCTATCTTGAAATGAATCTTCTCCTGCCTCTAAGTTCCGGGACTACTATATAGGCTAGTTTTCCGTAGGTACCTTTCAGATTGGGGATGGGAAAAGGTAAATATGTAACTTGTGATGGATCCAGAGTAGAGTCACAATTTATTCGTGGTATGCATTTGTTTTCCATCTGTCTGTCATGCTTGTCTTTTACATATATGTGCAGATACACACACACATATTCTTACCAGTGAAAACTTATCTTTGCTGGTACTCTGAGAGCTAGACTGTGCAGAACAAACCATTAAGAAATGAAAGTGTACGTAAATGCAAATGCTTAAGGCAACCATCATTAACATGCTTCTTCTGTAGGGTTTAGTGACCCACAAGCCAAGCCAGTTCTACTGGTCTCTTAAAAACTACTTAGGAGATTATATGACTCTTTGTTGTATTAATCTAAATTGCATTTAACTGAAAGTGATACCCTGCATATGATTTTTTTTTTTCCTTTTCAAGTACTGCCATTTCATTTGGCTGCAGGATTTGCATAACATACAGTCAGTAGTCACTACTTCATCTGAACTATGCCCTGTGCTAGTTTCTTGTGGTGTGCTGGTTTTCAGAAAATGCTGCAGTTCCAAGGGGAAACCAAATAAATGGGTACAGTAAACCATAACCATTTTGCTATGCCATAATAATTGTTTTAATTGTTTAATGTATGAGATGTAATCAGGATTTACTGTAGGGGAAAGAAAGGTGGTTTAAGGATGTGCTGTGGCCTGTCATCTTTGACCTAAGAAAAAAAATCAACAGTTTAATTGCTGAAATGATTCTTGTTAATTAATTTATTTACATTCTGGTCTAATGCTTAGTTTTTATTGTAAGCTACAAAACTCCTCTTGTTGCTTTTCTATTTTAAAACCTGTATGCTTTTGTTACATCAAGGAATAATGTAGGTTCAACAGAACCTCTGGAGGTCACATGGTCCAGCACCTACTGAAAGGAGAGCTACCTTCAAAGCTAGATCAGGTTGCTTGGGTAGAGTGGAGTTTTGAATATCAACAAGGACAGAGACAAGAGTAACCAGAAGCTGAATTTTGGAGATTTGTCATGTCAGGGATAGAACATATGGCAAGTTCCAGACCTCATTCACACTGGTTCTAGCAACATTGCTGGTGGAAACGATACAACTGGAAAACTAATGATATTCATTGATTTGGGAAAATACACGAGGGAATGGTTAAGCATTCATACAAATACCAGATTGTTAAGCTATCTCCCTGTCATCCATTGCTTCCTTAAGAAACATGTAATTATGTAGTCTAAGTAGATGATCTAGCACTCACTCTTCCTGGGAAAGGAAAGGAAGAATGTCTGTTTTTTCTAAGGGAAGTTATTTTTGACCAAGCTAACAATTTCCAGAAGGATTTTCGCTGTACCCATAGGAACATTTTATACCTATTGCTTCCTTATCCTTCTTTTCTGGCATCAGATCCTTTCCTGGGAATATTTCATTAATATTATTAATTATTGTCATGTCCAAAATACAAAAATTAATATTAGAGCCTGATGGTCTTTTGACTTGTAACATATCTGTATAGTTTTCAAACCGTACAAACTTAAATTAAATAATGCAGCTGCTAAATAATTTCTGTCGCTTTTAAGTTACTGAGTGGCTTAAAGTAGTTACTTGATTTTCCAGCACATCCTTTTCCAGAATTTATGATAAGCCATTTTAGTCAATTTTTAGTAGTACTTTCAACCAACTTTTATTACATCTGTTTGAAGGGAGGTGTGAGAGCTGCCTTGACTATCACAGATACTTCAGTCAAATTTTGCAGCAAGAATCTACTCCTCTGTTAAGGGCTCTCTGCTATGTGTTTTCTCTTTTAGCAGCAGCTGAAGCTTTTCCTGCGATTAAGGCATTCATGCTGTTGTGTGCAGATTCCCTAATATCTACTAAAATACGAGATCAGATTGACAGTGTAAATTCAGTTGAAAAAATAACAAGATAGATATCCATTTGAAGACAGATTTTAGTTATTTCAGTACCCAGAAAAGTACATATTTAAAAACTAAAAGTTCAAGTGAGGTATTGCAAGGAACCAGCTTTATCACTGAATTTTCTCTGAATTAACTATTCTAAGTATTTGAATTGCATCTTAACACTGTCAGTATTACCTTGAGTACATGTTTAAACTAAAACAGATATTTAGTTTTCCTTTCCCTGTTTTTCTTTCACTGGGAAAGTAGATCCTCAGTCTGTTCCTGTGTTTGAATAAATTAATATACTCACGTCTATAAGATGGAGATATTGGCCTGTACAAAGGGAAGTATCAAGGTGTACTGTAACTATTCTGTCCAGACTGTGTTTAGTGATATGTCCCATTTTAGTAATGCTTGAAGAAAGCATGAAACATATTAAAATGAACAGAGTCAAAACGCATTCCCTCAGCTGTCTCAGTGCACTACTTGGAGCTCTAGACTGAAAAACAATCTTAGGTTAGTAGGGGTACATTTTTAATGTTGCATTTGAGACTATCAATCAGAACTCTTCCAACTAGTGCTAACTGGGATTACACACCCAGGGCACTGAACAGCTCAAAATAATTTTAAGTTTCTTTACAGTTTGAAAGTTCAGAGATGGCTGCATCTAAGCTCCCTGCTTCATATGCTGGTTACAAAGTAACTTTCATTTTTGGTCACTATTTTCAGTCACTTTCAGAGCTGATCAAAAATTGTTGTTGTAAAACAGATTCTCATCTTAAATAGCATAAGAAGAATTTCTGAGTAGCTCATACATTGTCTGCAGAAGCTTCTCTGACGTTTTTGAAAAACTGTTGTGTGTCTTATAAAGGCTTTAGAGGTTTATAATACAAAAGTATTATAATAATTTCTCACAGTTCAGAATAGTCTTATTTCCCAAGTGATGTTCTCTATATTTATAACTAGAATAAAGCCTTTAGCCTGTCTGCTTTTAACAGCTCACAGATCCTATTTTATGAGACATGCACAACAAATAAACTAGGTTAACAGTTGTGTTGATGCAACCCACCGTGGAAGTCTTGAGTAAGGCCAGTGCCGTTCTCTAGGCACACTTAATGCATCATTAAAAGAGTGGGACCAAATAACATCTGTTGGAAACAGTAAATCACTAAAGTGATGGTATATAAAGGCTAAACAAATAAAAAAGAGCATCTTCTGGTTTAATCCCGATATTGATTTAAATGTCCTGTTGGTTTCAGTTGGAGAGAATCCAAGGCAATGCCCTGCACTCAGTGATTTTGTGTGTTGGAACAAGAATTGCATAGAGTCTCAGTTTGTCTGTGACTATAAACCAGACTGTGAAGACCTGTCAGATGAAGCTGACTGCAGTAAGTATCTCCTTCTGTATTAATATAATTTCCAATTAAAATGATAATTTTAAATTCTGCAGCATGTCTTAGGTGCATTCACACAGCTGCTCGTGAGAAGATCGCAGAATCTCAGACTCACAGAATGGTTGAGGTTGGAAGGGACCTCTGGAGATCATCTAGTCCAACCCCCCTGCTCAAGCAGGGTCACCTAGAGCGCATTACCCAGGATTGTATCCAGACGGCTTTTGAATATCTCCAGGGAAGGAAGACAATTACAAGCATGTTGCCTGATCTCCCAATATAGAAAGTCTGATATTTTCAGATCCTTAGAGAAATATACTGCACAAAAATATTTAAGAATTATTTAGTCGCAAAAGTGTAGCATACACAAAACAAGGGTTAGGAAAAAAAAGTTTTTTAAGGAAGGAAATCCATGGGTTACTATACAAATTAACTCTTAGGAGAAATGTGAAATCATTTACTATGTTGAAAGCATTTTGAGCTGTCAACATTGAATGAAAAAAGCCAAATAAGTAAATTAATGTACAGTAGTATTTAGATGCGATTGTGCTAAAAAGTGATTGCATAAGAACAAGTCTGTCTTTCCCTTCAGATTAGTTCCCTGTGATCCTAATTGTGTCACTGCTATATATTCATTGTTCTTTGTTCTTGCTGCTACTACAAAACTATCAAAATATCAAAAAGGTGTGAGCTGAATTATTTTCTTCCTTTTACGCTGTTACAGAACAGTTGGAAAAAATCCAGTCTGTTTATATTTTTAGAATCCCAGTGAGGACTGAAACAAAATTTGCCTGCAGGAATTCTTTACAAATGCTGTTTGAGATGAAAAGACAGCTCAGTTTTGAAAATCTGGATCGAGTTAACAGGATTTACAATTCACATTTGAAACTGAAAGGCAGCAATACATTGTGTCCTTGCTCCTACTCCAGTTCTTTATTTACAGTCACTTTCCAGACCAGATTTTTGGAGAAGGAAGACTAAATAGTCCATATATGTCTTAATCGTGAAGCCACAGGACCACATTCTGCTACGTTGCACATATGATCAAAATTTATCTTGATATACAGAGACAGTAAATGCATCACATGCATCAATTCAATGCCGATACTCTGTTGAAGTGCACCATTGAAATGCAGCAATACTTTTTATTGCCTTTATCACATCTGTAATTATAAAGTAGATCCTCTTAATCAGAAAACCAAGATTTACCTAAGAAGCGTGAGAACTTTACAGAATATAAACAACTGGTTCAATCTAAATATGGAAACCTCTTTCAGCCTCACCTTTTGAGGAAAAGGCAACAGGACCTGCTTAATCCCAAAAGAGAACAGGGAAACAGCCACAGGGAAAGTCCTTCATATTCTAACCTGCCCCATCACAGGTACTCCATTGGTTAGGGCCACATTTGCCACAGTTTTCTCCTTTTCTCTCAGTTCAAGGTCCAAGCTGATTCACATTCTATTAGAGTTTTATACCAGAGTAATGCCAAAGAAATCAATGGGCCATTATCCACTCAGGAGAAATTTCTTTGTGCAGGATATACAATAAAGTCTGGATAAAATGAATTGTATCCACAGAGTTTGGTGGACCTTTTTTTTTTTTCTTTCTTAAACAGACTCACAGGAATTATTTACTTTATGCTTCATTCCATCCAGTCGGACAATCTTGAAAAATTCTTTTCTTTCAGAAACCTTTTGGAAGTACTGAGGTGAAAAAGCACACATGAAAGCAGTTTCAATTTTCATGAAATGTAGTCAATTATACACCTAGATTTGATTAATAGCAAACCTCAATGTTGGTGAACCGTCTAGACGAGTGCTTGAATTATTGAAAAAAAAGCAATTTTTCAGATAAATGGAACAATCCTTTCTCATGGCTTCTAAATAGATTCTGTTTACATCCAAAATAAAAAGTACCCATCAGGTGCAGATATATCACCTGATTTCATCAACTCTGTAAATATCATTCATAAATTTTTATTATTAATTGCATTCTGAATGCACTGTTAATATATTCGAGTACATTTTATGAAGTCAGGCAGTCTATTATGAATAGCATTATAAAATCTAAATGCATTTGGTCTTTGACCTTATTAGAACTATACAAGGCAATTGTACTTGCTGTTGAGATTAGCCAAGTCCATTCTTTACACTATCTGTATGTGAAGCCTTTTGGTGGTGGAGTTAGGCTTTAAATTTATTTGACCCTTGTAACAGAGCATCGATATGGATGCTCAGCATCTTTATGTTTCCTTTCATGTTTCCCAATGATCATTCTGCAGATAGAACTAACAGTACAGATCCTTCTCCTAGCATTAAGTGTGATATATGCTATTCACTGGGACTTGCCCTAGATACTTTACTAGGGTGATCTTTTTTACATAAAAACAAGTTAGCAGGGGTGACTGCATTTTGTTTGCAAATCTTGGTAATTCAGAAGGGTTTTATGATAACAGCAAGTTATTTTTGTAAAGAAGAATGGCATCAGTTGTTCTTGTAGCGCCAAAGTAGGAAACAAAAAAAATAGTAAAATAGTATTCTGTCATACACATTGATAGAATAAATAGTTTTATTTTAATGTTGCAGCAAACTTCTACATCAAGAAATACACTCTACCTGCTCAAATCCATCTGAGGTCTTCAAATAAAGCCACAGTCGGATTTGTTTCTAAAATGCATGACTGACTGTAACATCTAATAGTAAAATCCTTTAGCTGGGAAGTGCAGTGCTCTAACTCAGTGGTCTTGTAGTTGCCTCTGTTCAAATTCCAACCTGCAAAACTAGAAAATTTGCTCTTGGAAAATTCAGCTCTTGGATATGACAGTGTATAATTAATTTTCCAAAGTCACTTGAAAAATCAGAGACAGATCTAGAAATACGAAGTTTATCACCAATCTCCTGAATTCAATCCGGTGTCCTAAACACCAGATCTTCTCTCTTTATAACAATGAATTCATACATAACCCTCACAAGAAAGTTCTAATATCATTCATGAAAAATGTCATCATGGAAGTAGAGTCCAATTTGTTGCCAGTTTGGAGCCAGTTTGTTGGGAATATTGAATAATAATGAAAATTGAAATTACCTGTGTACATAGGCATATATTTGTAACAACATAGGCAAAAAGGATCCTTTCCATTACTATGTAGGATATGTTCATTATAGTCTTTTAGATTTGAGAGCTGAGAGGCTAATTCTTGTTATATTTTCAGGTTACTATACAAGTATTCCTGGAAGCTGCAACTTTGAATCACAAGATCAAGAGTGGACCACTCTGTGTGGATTAACACAGGAGTCTAGTGATGATTTTGACTGGAATATTAGCAACAGTGCTGTCACTGGACAAACAGGTCCTGATGCTGACCATACACCAGGTATTAGAATATGTGGTACATCAGCTTTGGGAAAATGAAATATTCACTGTCTTCTAAAATAACATGGGGATGTTCTATAGGTTAATGCCAAGATAAATGGAAGATCTCAGTGCCCTTACTGTATGTGATGGCAAATGATAATGAGCAATTAGCACAGTTCATGAAGCTAATTGCAACATTAAAAGTTCCAACAAGCATTTAAAATGTACCCTTTTATATTAAAGCTACAATAGAGGATAGATATAAAAAAAAATGTAGAACTATATTGAATGTTTTTGTGTATTGAATCTTGTTATTTATGCTATCTGGTAACCACTAGTTTTGTCTGAATGCGAAAACAAACAGCCTGGCAGAGTAGTGTATTATCAACCTTTTTAATCATTCAGCAGTAGTGTAATTTTATAGATTGCTCTTTTCAAAATGGTCCTGATTATGTCATTCTTTATTCTCCACTTTAGCTAGTGCGTTTGTTTAGTCATTTCCTAGACAATGAGCTGCTAAATGTAAAGTCAAGATACTAATTAATCATCACATCTGGGAAGCACCAGACCTCTTTTTAAAACAGCATAGCATACTGTACTGTACAAATACACTAACTGTTTGCAAGTCCATATAACTGCTCTTAATTAAAGGTCTATTTAAAAACTTTCTTAGCTCTACAGAAAAGAAAATTTTAATACAGTAAGGAGAATATATTCAGTGATAATCAAGGGTCACTAAGATTTTCTATTAGGTCTTGCTCAGGCATGCTGTAACAGTGAATCCATGCGCTGCTGAATGGCTGCACACATTTGGATGAACAGAGGTACAAATAACAGTAATTCAGCTACCCACTTCTCATCATTTACCTGAGGACACATTTATTTTAAGTAGCAACTTGAATGAGACCATCTGATAACCCTGATTTGTGCTGTAGTCAGTCTCTGGAAAGCCTTGTTGCATTGTAGGTGTATTTATAGGCAGCTCCACAAAGGTACCAGCTTTCTGTTTCTGATATCGGCTTGAACCCGCATGAAACAGCACATTTGTGACTTGCTACCATTAAGACATCATGCTAACTCTATTTTGCAACAGCCTATACTGTGTCTAATTGCGTCTTTCCCAGGAGAATTCCGCAATGAAAATACTTGTAGGTTCCCTGTAGTAATAGAAAGGCGCTACATATTCTGTGCACGTGTAGGTGGAGCGCCATGAGCAAGGGAAATAGAGCAGGCCAGGCCTCAGCACTTTGGCTTTTAATGGTTTATACAAAAGAAAGGAAGTCAGAGGAACAGATTTCCTGGTTCTCATTCAATTTGTGTCTGGATCTGTGAGAAGATGCTTTCCAGTGCAAGTTGCCTTGATAAAATCCCTGGGTTGGAGAAGTACTGACTTACTAGGATAATATGTAATTGCCAATTTTTTTTCTTTTAGTTATTCTTCCCAAATTCAGATTGAAATGGAGTATTTTCTATGTTCTATCTTTAAAGAAGTTCTACAGCTAGTGCAAACTAAGTGGCTTTTAATGGGCTGTTAATTTATATTTTTATAAGTCATTTGACCCTAACTGATGTTTTAGAACCAGTTCTTCTGAGAACCCTGTTTAATTTTTTGCTATCTTTCTTTCTCCCAATCCCCACCACTGCATTTTTCTCACCTATAAGTAGTATTTTGCTTGCTTCTTCTAGAATTGAGTGGATTGAAGCGGGATATGTGTACGAAAGCTTGTGTGTCAGGTCCCAATACTGCAGGTGTCTGTAAGTGTTACTGCAGTACGGATGATAAATTTGTTCTGTACAGAAAGTCTGACTGCAAGAATTGAATTCTCTGAAAATGTAACTGGCCATGATAGTGCTCTGGTTCTTGTCAGCAGTTTGAAGTAAGTTTAGTATCATCCTAATGAGTTCTAGAAAAACATGCACTCATACACTGGTCCTTAAAGCATGACTGAGTAACAGCATCTGTGAGCATGTGTGATGGCTTAAGGTTTATTATTAAGATGTTGATTTAACTTCTCTCCCTGACATTGGCTAGCCAAAAATCTTAATATGGAAGAAATGTTTCCTGTACTAGCATGTCTCAACAAGATGTTACAGCCATACTGTTACCAGAATGCCCATTGACTGTTACAAGAACAAAATGTATTGATAGGCAATTACACTTATCTGTGTTATGCAGACAGCAGCCTGTAATGCTACCTAGGAATTTAATTTCCCCCATAAATGTACCCATCTTTTTTTCAAAAAGTGCTTAGCTTTCTTTTCCAGGAGCTTGTTCCAGAATCTTACTGCTTTCATGGCTAGGAACCCTCTTCTGATTTCCATCTACTTAATTTTATATATTAACTTGGAAATTAACAAAGAATAGTTACTATTCAATGTAGAAGGTATCACAATATCTACTCTCTCTCTCTTAAATCTGTGTCCATCATGGTCTCCATGTTTTGACTCCTTTTTGGTATTTTAAGTTTCTGAAATGAGCAAACAGTGACATCTCATCACAGGGTGGCTGTGTAAGAGTTTCTGTCTGACTCATTTACCTCTCCTTTTTCTTTGAAGGATCCTGCACCTGGTGCAGGAACTGCCCACCTGATCATGACAGAACTGCTTACCTGCCACAAATCAGTTTGTCATTTTCAAGGAAACAGATATCCGTACTAGCTTGTGCTGCTATTCCAGATTGTAAATGTAGCAGGTTAGTGCCTTTCCTCCTGGAAAGGGACATAACAGACAGGAAGAAACCATCACAGCCCTCCCAGGCAAGCTATCCCTTGTGAATCACTGGTTTGACGTGCTTCCCTGCTGTTCCTTTGATGCACTGTGTTGATAAAACAGCGCTTTCTAGCATTCGGCTCTTCTGGGATATTTTGTATGGTTTTCTATTTCAGTTCCTCTCATTTAATTGGTTCTTCTGTGAAATTAGCCAGCAATCATAATAAAAATAAAGTTAATAAAAAGAAGAAAAAGAAAAACAAAATTAGAGCAAAAGTTTCTGCAAAATTACCTAGATTTGTAAATTGCTTGTAAATTAATTGGGCAAGAAATATTCACATTAGTTACAGAGAAGAGGAATCACTCATCAGAATTGCCAGCAGTCTAGATACTGATGCCCTGTAATGTTCAGGAATATCTATCAGCCCCTTCCTGACCCAAATCCAATCCCTTCATTTCAAATTCATTTTCTCTAGTTACTAAGCATATACATTCATGGCACAGTCCATATGTGAAATTACAGCAATATAATGAAGCCAGTGATATTATGCTAACTTTGTATACTAAGTATATTGGCACAACTTTGTGTGGAGGATTCTCATGTTGCCTCATTTTGCCCAACCTAAATTAACGTGATGGATTTCAGATGGATAGAAACGTTCATATACAAAACGTTTGCATCCGTTTAACAAAACTAACACTTAGCACTGGCACGCTCTGTAGGAGACAATAAGCCCTACAATTTGAATACAAAGGTTTTGAGCAATAAATAAAAACTACTTCACCCACTTAACAGTCTGCAGTCTGGCCAGAATGTAGTTTATCCATATCTCACCTTTAAAATTTTCCTTTCCATAAATATCTTTCTCAGATCATTCTTTCTAACTGAAAAACAAAATACTTCCAAACTTTTGCCACAACATCCATGAGCTGTTTAAATATTTAGAGGATATAGCTGATCAAGTTCAAAACATTTTAACCTTAAAAACTTTAGCCAAATGCCAGAGCAAACTTATTTAACATCTACCATGTTGCAGAGACCGGCACTCTAGTTTTCTACCTTGCTGGGCAGTATACAAACATTTGGGACCATTCTATTTGTAAGGAATATGGTATATCTTTGTCATTATAGTCTTTCAAATAGCTTTTTCTCATCTGAGAAAGTTTGTGTGTTATAATTCTTGAAAAAGCTTGAGGCATAACATGATACTCATAAAATAAAACCTGAAAACATCATCTTGAATAATGTTGCTGCAATGACAGCAAGAGAAACTGAGAGCATGTCCATGATAGTCATTACAATTTGCAAATTGTCCAAATTCAAGGTGAGTGATAGTCATATGTTTCCTCAAATTGAGATCCAAGCTGTGTAAGTCTCACTCTGAACAAGTGATCGTTTGCAGGTCTGTAAGAATGGGATATTGGATAGCAGTTTGAAAACCCGTTATATAGCTTCACTTTATGAGTGAAAGAGCTAAAATTGCAGTCAGTTTTAGGTATAAATAAATGAAGCTCACTTCAGACGGGAAATAACTTTTGATATTTTGACCTCAGCCCGAGTGAGTCTGAATCCTGAAGTAGCAAAGCAGCGAGCAGCTTTCTGTTTTTGCTTTCTTCAAAGTCTTAATCAGTTTTTCAGGGCTTAAGGTATGTGTCAAAATAGATAATAAAGAAACAAATACAAAATTAGGTAAGCCACTAGCTAAATTTCTGAAATAAGTTTTACTGAACGTCTAAATAGCAAATTCATCTTCAGTGTATTTTAATTACTTGCTATACTGGTAACAGCTCTCTGATTTCCACTTCTTTCATCCACTCAAAAGTGAAAAGCAGTGTTCATCATTACTCTTTTCAGCAGGGATTCTCTTTTTCAGTGCCTTGTACACAGGGGCATCAGTTATAGTTAGGTTCTTCTGGGGCTATCATGAATAATTCTTTAAAAAAAAAAACAGGATCCGCTGGAGAGAGTTAGGCACACCCACTATACTATACTAGCCTGTAATCTGTTAGTTCAAAGCTCATTCAATATGTAGAAGATCCCAATTCAATATCTTGTCAGGGCAAAAGTGGTCCTGCAATAGTCAAAACAAGCATCTGAGCATCTCATATTTTCATGTTATTGTTGTGTGTTTCTCATACTAGTTTTACAAACTGAGAAAATTTCTAGATTCTTATTTTTATTCTTTTATATTTTATTTCTTTATTCTAACACAAAAGGTTTGTGATGATGGAAAAGTTGTAGAGCAAGGAAGTCATTTACCTTCTAGCTCCAATAATAAGGCTGCCAGCTAGGGTGCTGTCGTTTGTCTGGCAGAAAATTTAACGATCATGCCTTTGCATGTGATGCTTACACAGTTATAATAATTTGTCAATAGCTAAGGTTTAGAAAGCTAAGCTGGATCCGTCACTATCTGGTTTGCTCCATCAATATTTATTCCATTTCTAGAATAGCAGTTAACTCATCAAACGTCTCTTGTGTGTCTTTACCCAGACCGTTGTGCTGTTCTCTTTAGAGTCACACTTTCTTAAAAATGACCTCTAAGTCACATATCTTATTCTTCACAAATCTACATGCTAGAATTACTGTATTTCAGTGTAAAATGACATTAGGTAAACTTCACATTGCAGAGCATATGAAACTGGACTCCTAAATTCAGCCACAGAGTGAATGAGTTCAAACATGAAGCATAACCAAGTACAGAGTGGGTATAGAGAATTTATTGCCATTATAAAGAGAAGGTGATATAGTGTGGATGCATAAGTTACACAAGTCCATCCATAACTTAATTCAAAATCTCCTTCCAAGGGAATTGCCATCTGCTTTAGAGAAGATTCATTAGCATCTATTAATAAGACAAAAAAAAATTGCCTGAAATTAGTCTAATCTGCAAAGAACCGGTCTTTTTTGGATATATCACTTGTTTATCAGTTATTTACAGAAAAGGTTAGAAGAGTTCCCATGGGGCTTGCCAGACTACTTTTATAATTCTGAACAGGTTTTATGTCTTGTGTCTCTGAAAAGAGGAGTTAGGATACGTTCCTTAGATTAAAAAATTCTGAAGTTTTTTCCTCCTGAGGAGACCTGACTTTCTTCAACACTGTTACCAGGAAAACAAAAATCTCTCATCTGAACAATTGAGCTATTTTAAATTTTGAAAATAAGATTTTGAAAGAGCTTTCTTAATCAAAAGTTCTTTCTGAAATCAAGCTTAGTAAGTAGGCTTACTAATTCTGTTATGTGTAGGATTACCAGTATGTACCATTATTTCATACAGTTATGGAATTAAAGGGCAGAGAGGACTGATTGGCTGACTTTCTGAATACTATTAAATTTCATCAGTTCATCCGATATTTTGCTTATAAACATATGTTCAAGTAAAACGCCCTCCATCAAGATAGTCTAGGTTTAGTATTTTCAAAAGACAAAAATTAATCTCTTTACTTGTTGGTTGTTAGCATGTTTAATCATGTTAATTGTGAGCATTTTTAATGACAAAGAAAATGAAGTGTTAAATCTTCATTTGAATTAGTCTGTCTTTTCTTTTGGTCATTGCTTTTTGTTATCCTTTACTTTGACAGTTTATTCCTTACTGTAAAGATACATAAAGCATATAATCAGTTAATTCTCAGTTTTCTTTCTGCTCTGCTAAACTATTTAATAGTTTATCTCATCCTGTGAGGTATAAAGGCCTTGGATTTTCCCAACCGTTGATTTTTTGAGTATCTTTTAAAAACTATGGTCACTAAAATGTAGGTACAGTATTTCAGTACTGGTCTATACCAGTATAGATATATACCATGTACCTTCAATCCCTCCTCACTATTTTCTAAGGCTGCATTTGTTAATTTTGCTGCAGAATCTACCTGTTGTAGTCTAAATCTTTTTCAGACAGCTTTCCAACTTGACCATTCTATAAGGTCATCCTAAGCAACTTATTCTTATTTTGATTAGCAGTGTTATTCTATCACTTAGGACTGCCTGCCCTGATCCATTCTGCTACATACTGTACTGGTAGAAGGCAAAAAGCAATCCTTGCCTGAAAGAGACAAGACAGCAGACAACAAATGGGTACAGACACAGATCTGAAAGAGTACAAGAAAGAATTACAAGTTGTTTTTTAGCAAATTTTTGGTCAGCATGGTAGACAATTATCTTAGCACATCAGCACCACATCAGACTTTTGTTGCTGTCTCCTCTAGATACCAAAAATTAGATATACTCTAGCTTCATCAAATAGTATTCTCTAGCTTCATCAAATAGTATTCAAGTACAAAATTGGAAAAAGTAGTCATGAGGTTAAAGAAGAATTGCTTCCCATATGCATGCGTGCATTGTCACATAGGCCTGCTTGTTGTTAAGAGAGGATAGCAGCTTACTGCTCAGAAGACTGCAGACAGAGGAGAATAAAGTGTGTTTCCATGGCACTATAAAGCAAGAGGAGTAAAGAGCTGTGGAGCGAATGAAGTAGATTTTTAGGACTAGAAGAGCTGTGTGGTTTGGAGCAGTAAGTTTTGAGGTTCATATACAGAATTTCCTAGTTATTGGCTTCTACATTAGTTGGCGTGTGGGATACTGGAGAGAAATTAGAGGAGTTACTCTCAGTTTGTGTGGCAGATACACATTGTTATAGCCATTTTGCAGGCAGTGATGGTACAATGTCTGTGTATACACAGTCTTTGTAGTATGACATGATGATGCCCTTGAGACCAGGTTCCCCAATGATCCAGTTGTATGGCATGTGTGCCCTCTGCAGAGAACAGCATGCAAGCACACTAAGCATGACTCCGCATGAACTCTGCAACACATGCAGGATGCTCCTCTCTCTCATGAGCTAGGATGTCTACCAGGAAGGCTGTCCTTCTGCATTTCAGAGTATAGACTGCCTGTGTGACCATGACTGGAGCCTACCCCACCACAACAGAACCACCTGAATGGGCTAGCATGAATGAAGCGGCCTCTCTACACCCCTGTCCATTGGCTTAAATTAAAAAAAATGCATTCTACCTTCCTATTTTGACATGGCCAGTCAAGCCATGCCAAGAAGCCTTACCAGGCTACCAAAGTCTGCAATGGCTGAGCTTAGAGCTTCAGTAGCTGCCCACAAGTACCCCTTGGAGGCTGGCATAGGTGAAGCTAACTTGTACTGTTTCATCTGTTGATGCCTACCATATTATTGCCACAGGTGCTTTGCACTTGATCCTCACCAATAGCAGATACATGTCCAGCCAGCTGCACCACTCTTGAGCAGGTCTGAAGGCTGCTCTCAGCCTATAGTGAGTAAAAAACAACCCGCAGTTACAAAAGCAGAAGGAGGCGTGGCAGGAGTGGGCTTAACTTAGATAAAATGCACACTTTCCCGGCCCCTCCCAACTGCAGCTAGGTCAAGCAAAGTCTCAGTCATTGTGAAGCCTGCTCGTTGTAAAGGACTGAGAAGTTAACCTAAAACTTCATTTGTGAGGCTGATTATTGTCTGGAGATGGCTTGAGTTCCCCAAAGAACAGTAGGAAACGTGGTTGCCCTGGACTACTTACAGGGTCTCAGGGCTCAGGTGTGTTCCCCACTGCCATGCTGCCTAACAGGGAATTCTCCTGGGTAACAGCAAATCAGCAAAGGTGCTCCTGGCTCCTGCAATGCCAACCTTCAAATTGATTGTTAGAATTTGTGAGTGTGTGTGGTTTTGTTCACAATGTTTAAAAGTTTTTATTCAAATATGAATCAAGTCACACAAAAATAAAGAGGAAGTTTAAGCTGTGAGGAAAGTTATACTAATACTGTAAGTAAAAAATATAAAAATGTGCAAAATATTAACATGGAAGATGTCTGTACAACCAGGGTTGGGGAGTTGTATGTGGTTATAGATACCAGTATCTGCCTGTGTAAAAGTGCATCTTATACTCTAAAGCACGCAGTAGCATTGGAAAAATATATGTTTTTTAATCTCTTTATTAAGGTAAAGGACAGCATTTTTTGTATGCAAACTCATCTGCCCAGAAGGAAGGAAACAGAGCAAGGATAATTACTACCAAATTCTTCCCTCCCAGCCTTGGGCTCTGTAGAGTTCGGTTCTGGTTCTGGCTGTTTGCTTCTAGGCAAACAGGAGTCTTAAAGGTAAGAGAAAAAGCACTTCCATTAAATCATCCCAAAGTAACATTTGTGTTTCTTTGTTTGGAATGATCTAACTCTCAAAGGTAATATTAGCTATACTTCATCACGACTTTGCCACTAGGTACACGGTTTTTTGCCTGACAAGATCAATAGTGACAATTCTGTTCTAGTCCAGATTTCACTAGAAAACTTTTCAGTACATACGTAAGAGTCAACATAGTATATATGACTATGATACTTAAACCTACTGAATATCATGATAGTTTTTCTGTCAGCATTTAACATAAAATAGAGGCATTTTCCAAAAAAAAAAAAGACAAAAATAAGACATTTTAAAAGAAAAGAAAGGTTTTAAACGTATTAATGTCACTACGTACAGAGGATGTTTAATTAAAATAATTGGAAACCCATGTGAACAATTACAGGTCAAGCTTCCATAAAATTGTCTTCCTGATGTTTTCCAAGCCTCCTTAATGGGCCCACTTTTAAATTGTTAAGCTCCTAGTAAAAGCACAAGCAGTGATGTGAACCTTTGGCAAACAAATCATTGCATATTGCTCACTGAATAAGTGTCATGTTAGACAGTACATCATTTAGAGGCCTAAGCTATGCCTCCTATCTGTGGCAATTTGTTAAATTCAACAAATGCAATATATATATGAAAATACAGATGATGTCAGTTTTAACTACATATGAAAGAATATAAAACTTTGCATGTGCTATCAGCCTCCTGAATCAAATTAGTCTATATTGAACGTGAGCAAGAATACTTTTCTTGTCTTGAACCTGGAGTGGAAGTCAAGACATCTGGACCACTGGTTCTGTACTGATTCTGTTTCTCTTTTGTCCTTTCCTCCATCTCATATCCATCCTATTGAAAAGGATAATACAATTTCATAGGATCATAGTTTAATTCTGTTCGGACATGCCTTCAGGATGCCTCTAGTCCAACCTTTTGCTCAAAACAGGATCCCCCATGCGATCAGACTAGGTTGTTCAGGGCTTTATCCAGTTGATTCTTTAGAAGTTCCAAGGCTGGAGACTGCACAGCTTCTATGGGCAATCTGTGTCATTGCTTGACTGTCCTCAGGCTGAAGAGGTTTCTCTTTATATCTAGTTGGAGAACTATATTACCTTTCATTCTACCTTTTGTCTATCTTATTTAAACTATAGTTTTTCGGGATGAGATTTGCATCTCAGTTTTATCTCTGGCACCTAATTCATTGATATTGTGAGCGCTGCCATAAAACGAATTAATAATATCAAAGAATACTCGATATTATATGAAGTTAGCATAAGCAGATATATACTTTCTTTATATTCAGTGAATAAAAATACTCAAAAATGTATGCTTCCTAAAGGTATTTCAGTTATTCGATATGAATTTTTAAGAAGTGTTTATACAGCAATCTTGTAATCTTATTATTTCAATATAGCTTTTAAAATACTACATCATATCTTCAAGTCCATTCTTCCCAATTTACATTATTTACCCCTCCATGTACACAAGCTTTGCATGTTAAGATTAAGAAGACAAAAAAGTTGGTAAAAGTCAAGAGCAGTTCCAGATTAAGGTTGAAGTAAAAAGAAGATAGTGGTTACTTTTTGGGTTGTTCAGTAACTTAAATACTCTGGATCTCTCTGTGGAAGATTTGTTTCAGTTCAAGTATCCTGAACATTACAGCATGCAGACCAAATATTTTTCTCAAGGATCTTTTGAATGAGCAAAGTTTTCAGTCATCACAGAACGCTTACAATTAGTTAATAAATAGAAATATGTAGCTTATGTGTGGAGTTAGTAGACAGGCAGCCAAATAGAGCCTGATTTTTTTTCTTCTACTTTCAAACAAACAAGATTAGCTAACGCTCACTACCTTCAGTTTCACAGAGAGATCCATAAGGAAACCTCTTAATCCAGCACAAAAAAAGGTTCCATGTTTATCTCTTCGCAGAATGTACTGTTTATGGACACATATAGTAATAATCATAACAAACTGAAGTAGTCCACAGGGAATTACAGACCTATTACAGACCCAACTGATCCTTATGGATGTTTCCCTTTTTGCTATCAAACTAATAATCTATTTCAGCAGCAACTATTGCTGCTATTTAATGAAGAATATAAATGAAATGTAATTGTTTGAGGAGGAAAAAAAAAAGAACAAAAAAACAGTACCAAACTTAAAAAGCAATGGCACAGTGAAGATTTTTGCTCAGGCTGCAGTGGAGGTGAAGAAAGTCAAACTGTATTTGGAAGTGTGAATAATGTGCTAGAATATGGTAGTGTCAATACAAAAGCTGACGTTATAGCTGTTATCTCAAATGCAGCTATCTGAAATAGTCTTGTCAGGTCTGAATTCAAGAAAAGAGACTGCAGAGACAGAATATACTCAGAGAAGGGTGATTAGAATGACCAAATGCCTGGAGAATCTGTAAAGAGAAAGATTAAAAAAGGATATCTTGGTATAGGAAGTAGGTAGGATAGAATGACACACAAAAAAGTGTTTGTTTCTTTGTTTTTCTAAAAAGGTCCTTACCTTTTTAAGTAAGGGTAGGCCTATTCTTTCCCCCAAAGAGGAAATATTCACTGAGAGTAGAGAAGGAAGAATTTGAGAGCTTCTGTATTTACAGTGCGTACTTCACTTGCAGAATTTTATTATCATAAGCTTTATAATTTCTTTACAGGGAAACTGAAGCATAGGCTATTATTATTTTTAAAAAATATATAATGTTTACAACAACTCTTACATTGAAATAGCAGAGAGAGCATTTAAGAGAGATCTGAATGCTGATACTTCAGGACATCAGCGAACTATTAGCCAGCAAATGAATCAAGTTATTTCGGAATGATTCAGTACAAAAAATTTAGCTTTCCTTAGGGGTTTTCTTAGCTTTTCTTTGACAGGATTGTTATCTAATTACAGTACTAATTACAGGACTGGTCTGAGGTATTACTATTCTCTGAGCAAGAATAGCTCTAAATATAAATATTTTTATTATGTTATAATACAAATGTAAATTTAAAAAATGTTTTTATCTTTACCTTTTGATAACTAGTTGTATTTAAAGATGACAGGAGAGAAGTTTCAGCAAGAAGTTGAGTTTATTTTAACACTTGTTTAATTCCAGTGTAGATCCTGTTGGTCATCTGCACAGAGAGTTGGAAAACATTCAGCTTTCATACAGTTTCAGCATTCCTTCTCTGTAGGTGTACTTTAGCAGTTTGTCATAAAATGGAGCATTAAAACTAAAAGTAATTGCTGATGTGATAGTACAATTCTAATACATTGTTTTTCTGCCTTGATATTTTTTAATACTAACAGAATCTGCTATGAACTGAGGTGCAGTAATACTAAGTATGACTAATTTTTTATTGCTTCAAATTCATTTTTAAAGAAATAAAAAGAAAAGAGGTAAATAGCAACTCTTTAAAGTGTTTTCCTAATGTGACAGTGTATTGTGACACAACTTTGCTAATTTACTTGTAGGCTTTAGAGAAATAAATTTCAGTTTGCCTCTGGTGTCCTTCAGCCCAAGGAAGATACATAATGATGGAATCAGTGGGAGCTTTTCTCAGCTGATACTAGTGCCTGGTGCTTAGTAAAAGTAAGGGACAAGTATGGGACAAGATTCTCCTGCTTCCTTGGCTGGTGGTTAAAGAGTATACAGTGGGAAGGATGGGAGAATATAGCTTCTATTATACAGTCTTCAGATCTGCATTGGCTTCTTGGTTATAAATCAGTTAATTAACCCTCCAGATGGAATATGGATGCCTTTCCAGCATGCCAACAGCTAGAGTCACAGAAGATCAGGAAAATAATATGTTGTCTTGAAAAGTCAGCATGAGGGCATGGAATAGCCACATGAGTTGTAACTGCAGATGACTAAACAGAGAATAGCATTTTGATTCCCTGAAATTCAAAAGGAAATACATTCCCCCCACCCCTAGAATGAAATAGAAACTGAAAAAAGAATTCAGAAATCCTTAACACACAGCACATGCTGTGCAGAATTAGAACTGAGTCATGATTTTAAGACAAGGAAACGGGATTTGCTGTGCCCATATGGACTACAAATGAACCAGCTTGCAAAGGCACCTTGGAGAAAGACTAAGAAGCAAATATTAAAGCTTCCCTCACACGTTCGCCTCATGGAGATTATCATGCTAAATTCTTAAAATCACCGTGAAGCGTGTACTGGGATGTCTTCACTCTTGAATGCTTCACTGTGATGTAAGTGGACTGGTAGCTCTATTTCTGCTGCTTTCTATTCTTTGTGATTTACATTGGGTGTGCTATCTAAAAATGCTGTCAGCATAGAATGAGGAATAAATAGGTATAGTGACTAGTTAGTACAACATGCTACTGTTACTTTAAAATTAAAATGATGGAATTTAGCCAGCAACTAGATTAGTATTACCTGTAGCACAATTTTCTCCTCGTCAGCTGGACTTTCACTACAGATTTCATTCATTACATGTTTTATCTATAGCGGGATTCATCTAACTAGCTTTGCCCCCTTCACGTGTTACATTGATTGTACTATCAGGTTAGCTTGTACGCTATTCATAGGATGCTGTGTTGGTAGCTGTTGCAGTCTCTGGAGGCACTAAGCATCACACGACCGTAATTCTCCAAGACTCTAGGGAGCTGATATCCATCAGAATTCCTCTGAAAAGGCCTGCAGAAATCCTATATATGCTGATTGTGTGCTTCCCAACCTAGAAAGCACTTGACATGGGTAATCTTGGTGACGAATACGGTGTTATATCTTGCAACTTACTCACTTAAGTGAGTAATAATCTGAGAGAAAATGAGATCTGTGTCGCCAGCTAAAGAAACAGACTCCCTGTGCTTCCCATTTTCCTGAACTTCGTTGTAATCTCATTTGATTTAGTTTATGTTTCAATTTACTTAATATTCTTTAGAAACTTCAACGGAAAA